AATAAATTTTTTTTGTTGTAATTTAGGTGGAAGTTGAATCCATGACAAGATATGTCTCTCCTATTAATCCTGCAATTTTTCCATTATTGGCAGTGGTATTACTGGGAATTGGAATATTCTTTACAGCATGGTTTTTTGTATATGAAGTTACTAGCACAAAATTTACAAGGGATATGTTCAAAGAATTATTAATTTCTTTAGTGGCAGCATTATTTTCTGGTTTTGGTATATTATTTTTACTTCTTTGGGTTGGAATTTATATATAGGTATATTATTTTATAGAAATTTAAATCAACAAAATTAAATAATACATTGGTATATATAAATCTTATTTTTTTGTTTCAGATTCATCTTATAAATGAAAAAAATTAATTTTAAAACTATATGAAATAGCATTTAATTAATACTATCAATTAATAATACTAATAATTAATTAATACTATAAATTATATAAATATTATATAAATATAAGAATAAAAACAATGTATTTTTACTAAATCATGCAATTATAATGATTAATCTACATATTTATCACACAATAATAAGCATTTGTATTTCTTAACATTTAAAATCACTATTTTAAATACAATTTTTTTTATAATATAAAAAATCAATTAAAAAGTACACATTTTTTACATATTTTTAAATAAGAATATAAATACATTTAAAAATATAATTCTGTAAAACAAAGATATTTATTTTTATGTAATTATTTAAAGCCTTTATAAACCTTATTTTATAAGTGTGTGTGTGTGTGTGTATATTTTTTTGTTAATTTTTTTGTATATAAAAACTTTGTCCTTTGTTATAAACAAAATGTATATAACATGAAACAAAATTTATATTGTATATGCAGCATTTAATGTTTCCATAACGAAGATATTTCTTTCTATAACATATTTTTATAGGATTTATGTAGTTCATATTGCGTATATTGTTTGTAATAAAATAAAATATTGAATAGCACAACTTGATAAAAATTGAGTAAAATATTTAACCAGCCAATCCTGCTTTTTGACGACAGCGTTGCATAAGAGCTCTTAGCATAAATTGTCTGCGTGAAAGTTGTCGTACTTGTTTTAAGAATGCATCTAAATCTATAATACCACAACGTAAAGCTTCGCCTAAATAGTAGATAGCATCTTCTGTGGCTGCTTCTTCCGCAAATGCATTTAACATTCTATAATTATAATTTTTAAAAAATAATTATGATATTGAAGTATATAATTAAATAAATAATTAAATACATACTGTTTGTAAAGTGGTGCGATTGTTGTAACAGCTTCATCAACATCTATTGATTGATTGTCAGAAAGTTTTGCAATTTCTTTTTCCAATTCAGTTTCTTTATCTTGAAGTATAGTAATATTTTTTTCAAGTTCAGTTTTCTCTTTTTTTAATTTATCAAACAAATCTGTTAGATGAGCAGATCCACTTGTAAGTTCTTGCTGTGTTCTACGTAATGTTTCTAATTCAGCTGACAATTGTGAAAATTGTTCTTTAAGTCTTCGTCTTAATTTGTCTTCTACTGCTGATAATAATGAAGCTCTAATATGTTCTTCTGTAATTGTACCTGATGCACCAACAGTAGCAGGTACTGTTGGAGACTTGAAATTATAAAAAGAAATAAATTTATATGAAATATATTTTTTATTAAAAGTTATAACTTACTGGTTGTGTTGATGCAGGATATTGAAAAGAACCAGTACAACTTTGTGATGGATAATTTGATGCAGTTCCTCCATACGAACCATAACCTTGATATGGAAATCCAGAAGATGTTGTAGACATGTATGGAGGATAAATATTATTTCCACCTGTATATTGTGAGTTTTGAGGATATGATGAAAAACTAGAACCAGATATATGTGTTCCACTTCCAGGTGCAGGCATGAAAGCTATATAAATTTATAGTTTTTAAGATCTAAATTTTTTATAAGAATATAAACAATTATAAATAATAAATACTCACGCTGTACAGGATAAGGTGTAGAACTTGTTTGTATACCTTGTCGTGGTTTAGCATAAACAGGTGGCTGTTCTCCAAATGTTACAATCATTATTTGAATTAAACTAAGTAAATCAGATGAATGCTAAACATAATAAAAATAGAATTATAAAAAAAATAATAGATAACATATAATTATATAAACAAATTACTCACTGGTAACCAATCATGAAGATATGGTAAATAAATTTTTCCATTATGATCAACAAACATACTAACTTTTATGCTCATATCTGCAGTAGGTTTGACATAGCACATAGGTGCATTATTGGGATGTGTATCCATAAGCCATATACATATAGGAATGTTATAATAATTACCTAAAAATATTTTAATAATATTCATTTTAATATTGATCTTATATAAATGTTTTTAAAAAAATTTTTAAATATATTACCTTTATAAGATACAGGTATTGTTCCTTGTAAATTAAACAATTCTTTACGTGATCCGTCATTAAATACTAAGATAAGAATATAATAAAAATAAATTATAAATAAATATATATTTCTTATATTTATTTTTATATTATTATATGTTATAAAAATTAATAATAAATAAATAAATAAATCTTAAAGAATATATATTTATAATACTTACCAAATGGTTCTACATTATATTTTAAACCCTTATAAAGATTCAGAACTTTCATGACATGTTTTTTTGTAATATCAGAATTTTGGTACTAAAAAAATAAAATGCATTTTATAAGTATCACTAAAAAAATACATTAATATTATAGTATATATATACTAATAAATGATAGTATACATACTTTTGATAAACTTTGTTTTAATTTTCCTTCATCTATAGATGTCATCTTCACCATTTAACTTCGTATTGTAGAATTACTGGATATAAAAAAAAATGATGTTTAAAATGAAAGTTTTTTATAAATGTTATATATAAAAATTTATTAGAACTTTTTGATCACTTCATGAATTATATCGTTATATTATTTTTCATGATATGTAAAAATTTTAAATTTATATTATTATCAATTTTATAAGTATCTCATATAATATAATATCAATATATTTTATTGCTAAATCTTTTTTAATTTGTAATAAACTACATTAAAGATTAATTCGTCTGTCACTACCTATCACTTAAGATATCTTGAAGATTGCAATACCATGATTAGTTTTCGCTTTTAATCATGAAATATACAAATATACAAAGAGTTATTGAAAAGAACTTACAATAATCATTGGTTCTTCAATTATTACTTAGTGCTGCCCTCGGATAAATGGCGCATATTTCAAAATTATAATATAAAAAAAAATTAAGATACAATTAATTATTAAGTTAATTATTATTTATTACTATATATGTCTATGACAAGAATTATTATAAATAAATTTTTAAATAAAAAATATTTTTGAATCGATACAAATTTAATAATATAATTATTATTTTTTGATAATTTGAAATTTTTTATGCAAGTGATTTATATTTTACATATATTATCAGAAAATTTAAAATATATTATCAGAAAGTTATGTAACACATAAAATATATTAAATGTTCAGAAAAATTGAATCTTGTATAATAAATATTTAAATATATTTTAATTTAAGTAGAAAAATTAGAGTTATAAAATATGCATATTTATTTTTTACTAAATTTGTTAAAAGCAAAGAATTAAAATATAATAAATGTAATAATGTATTACTTATGTTAGTACCTAATAATATGCAATTTTGTACATAAAAATACATAAAAATCAAAATAATCTTCAAAAATTTGTCATTCTTGTATTTCTTTATTGATCAATACATTACGATATATCGTAACATCAAAATAACAAAATGTCCGAGAGATGTAAATAAATTTTTATAGATCATAAATTATAAAGATTTAAGTTTCAGACTCTGTTTTCTCCTTTATATCGTTATTTTCGGAAATATTTCTATTTTTTTCTTCAGATTTCGATTCTTTTTCAGATTTCTTTTCTTTATTAGACTTTTTTTCGCTTTTTTCTTTATCAGCCTTGTCGCCATCATTTTTTTTACAATTATCTGATTTATCTTTACTTCTCCTTTCTTTATCTTTATCTCTTGATTTTTCAGAATATTTTGATTTTGAGGATCTAGATTTGGATTTAGATCTAGATCGTCTAGATTTTGATTTCGAACGTTTACTTCGAGATCGTGAACGACTTCTTCGACGAGGAGATCGTTTCTTACGATCTTTGGATTTAGATCTGGACCTGCGAGATCGAGAACGTCGAGATCGAGAACGAGAACGATGTCGACCACGAGAACTACTTCTCCTACGAGATGGAGACTTTCGTCTACGATCTTTAGAACGAGAACGTTTTGATCGAGATCTTGATCTTCGTCGATGACGTGAACGCGAACGTCTGTGACGGGAACGTGATCTTTTACGTGATCTAGATCGTCTACTACGTCCTCTCGATCTAGACCGAGATTTTCGACTACGAGAACCACTACGACTTCGTTTATCCTTTGATAGCATCCCAATCATTGGATCTATTGCAGCTGAAATTAAATTGTGAGCCTCCTTTACTCGAGACATTGCTTCTTCTATCTCTTTTTGTGCTGCTTCATTACTTTTTGCTTCAGGTTTTGCTATTGCTTGTGTTGAATGATAAATTTTAATTGCTCTATCCAAAAGCAACTTTCCATTCAATAATAATGCAGAAACTACAGCTGCTTGTTCAGAAAGTTCTACTAATGCATAATGTTCTGTATCTGAATCTCTAGTACACATGCGTAAATATTTTACTTCAACATTATTATTACTGAAAAAATCTAGTAAATGATCAGTTGTGACAGATGGATCTAAATTAGCAAGAACAAGTGTTCTTCTTATTTCTTCAATTCTTCTGCTATCTAAATGGCCAGGTAAATGTGGATAAGGTGGCAATCCATTTGCCTCTAATTTTGGATCTATAGTAGTAATAACATGATTTGGAGGAATTCCTTCTATTGTATTTACAACATTTGGTGGTAGTTTTGGCTCAGAAGGATAAAGACCTATAAAAAAAAATAATTTAATTATATTTATTTTTATATACATACATAAAATTGAAAATGTTTAATTTAGAAGAACAATAGAATAAAAATTTGGATATCATATTGCTTACCTGGAACAACTGTACCATTATTTGTTAATTCAAGAGCTCTCTGTTCATCTGGAATGTCACCATTTTGATAAGGGATTACAATTAATGCGCGATCGATAAAAACAGTATTTGTCATATGTTGAGCAACAGCAACACATCCCTGATCATGAAATTTTATGTAACAAATACGAGATTGAACAGGTACTGCAACATCCCGTATAGTAGGATACAATCTGATATCTTCTATTTTTCCGAGGTACCCGAACAAAGTTTGCATTTGATCTTTCGTTGCTTGAGGTGCAATATTTGTTACTTGTACCACTTTTGTTGATCCAACCGCCATTCTTTTCACGATTCTGTACAAAATCTTCACAATGTATTTTAGAGAGGTTAAGTTATAGAAATTGTGTGCAGACGAATCGTACACGTTACACAAAAAAATTAATTTAGTTGACGCATTACGGCGAAAGATAGATGAACATGATTATATATAATTCGTACATTCTTTGTGTTTTCTCAACAATTTCGTAGCAACGTATAAGGCATGAACTATGAATCTCTAGATGATGCAAATATAATCCACTTTTATGAAGATTTATCATTAATTCATAATAAATGTTTTATTATTTTGTAATAATATAAATATTCTAATAAATTTATTTTTAAAACTTATATTTTTCTTTAATTAAATTATTTTTATTAAAATTTAGTTACAATTCTCAGTGAATTGCCTAGAAAATAATTTTAATTAAAATAAAATAGTATTAATACATTAGGTTATATATAATTTAGAATCTTTATCTATATATATTATCTATTCAGCTGAACATCATATATAAACAAACGAAATTATATAATAAATGTGCTTTATCTGCTGACAAATTTTGACGATATTAGGTTTCATTCATATTATTGTAGCGTGTAAATGTATTATCGTTTAAATGTATTATCGTACTATCAATTATTTTTATATTAATTGCTATTTTTATGAAAAAGAGAAATATATTTAATTTTATTTTCTTGAAGTACTTATTGAATTTTAAATTCATCTTTCTTCTTTTTTATTTAGATACATATCTCATATTAATTCTAATATTTCTTCATAATATATTTAATATGTATTTAATATGTATTTAAAAATTGTAAAAAAATTCTGTTTTTCATATATTTTGATCATTTAATTTTTATATCCGAAAATTCATTTCGAATAGATATATAAGATATTTGTAAAGAATAAATTTTAAAAACCTAATGTATTAAAACACAAAAGATTGGTATAAAAAATGTCAATTAGAATTCATTTATTAAATTAATAAGCAATTTAAGTTTGTGTTAAATGAAATGAGGTGGGAATAGAATGCGAGAACAGAAAGAGAAAACTTTAGAATTGATTGAATTCTTCAAATATATTCCACAAATAAATTAATATTTTATATATGTACAATATGCAGATTGAAGTAGACGATATCTATTTTATTGTTAGATTATTTGTATAATATCATTATACTAAAAAATTAGCAACTATCGAATAGCTTGTAGAATTTCGTTGATTGAAGATGTGCTATTTTTTGTTTTCTCTAATTTAGATAAATAGCCAATCAGAAATGAGAATAGAGCATGGCTGAACGATATCATTGAAGCGCCAACTCTTAGTAAACATAATGTTATATTTCATTCACATGAAACCTTAAGCAGAATTTACACTGGATGATCATAGTACATATAAGATTTATCATATCAATCGATATTGCTTACATGTAAAATTGTCACTTTCATTATTTAAATTATTATTTACAGAAATACTAAATTCTGATTAGGTGCGTAAAATGTCATTCAATTCATCAAGTTTAATAGTTTTAATAATATTTAGATTATTATTCATATCGATAAAAAATTATATCGAATTATATCATGAAAAAAATTATAATATTCAATACATCTTTGATATATATTGCTTGGATTTGTTTGTGCTTATCGCCAGCACATAACTTCTGTTATCGTCATGGTTTGACTGAGCTATACGCTCCGTGATTAGCTAGTATTTTTTTGTTCATAATTCATTAATAAAGCCGTAACGAAAATTTTTACAAAGGAAAATGTTGCTTGAAATTTAAAACCCCAGTTTATAAATGATCCATCAATCTAATACCTTATATATGTAGTTTTCAATATATAATATTAAAATAATTTTCCGCAATTATTAAAAATCTTTGGACAATGTTTTTTCGCAACATTCACATAAAATATATCATTATTTATGTTCACTTTTTCAATATTGCTTAATTTGTTCCACACATGAATTGTCATTGCTTATTCGATCATTTTTATTATTTCAGTATTGTTTGTTGTCTTAAAATATAGTGATCAATTATTGTAACGAATCGGGTAAAATATTGAAGGAGGAAAAATACGAAAGCCTTGACATCGATTTGTAGACATGTCCTTGATAAAATATAAATATTTTTATATATTTATTTTATATATTTATTTATATATTTGTTTTTATTTTTTTTAATTTTAATGTTATATTTTTTTAAATATAATATTATATATAAATAATTCAAACTATAATAAATATTTTGTTGTAATTTCAAAAAGTTTCAAATTTCAAAATTGCTTTTTATTATCATAAATACAATTGTAACATAGATATTGATTATTTATTTTGATATATAAATTGATATCTATAAATGTAAATTGAAATTCGGAATTTGTTTTTATGTTTAAAAAAAAAAAAGAACAAGAAAAAGGAAGATATTAGAAAATAATAATAATAATAATGCAATTATTAATATTAATTAGTAATATTTTTTATATTTTTTTTAATAAATTTATTAAATATAAATTATATTTAATAAATTTTATAAATATTTTAATTTTTTGTTTTTAAGAAAATTTCAATAAATTTCTAATATAAAATAAGAATAAATATAATATAATTTAAATCATATTTATTGAATGATAATTGACTTGATGAATGATTTTTGTTATCTATAAATTAAATGAATATTAAAGATAAGTTGAAATTTTTATATTTGCGAAGTTCTATTACTGTATAATTAGTTTTTAAAATTCAAAATTTTCTGTAATGAAATGATCGATATATAATCGAGATTTAAATTTAATAATATAT